ATTTTAATGCTGAATATTGTATTAGTAAAAGTGTTTTTAAACTTACTATACATGGAAAGGGGAAGTTTTTTTCCAGTTAAAAAAAGAGAGACTCTTGCTATCTACTTCAGAACACATCATGAAAGATATGAGTAGTGTGCATATTCACTAGAGACCGTGGAGGGAAAGAATTAATTTTCCCCCCTACCTGAATTCCTGCTATAGCTAAGTGGCAGTGTAGGTTCTTCAGAGAGGTTTGACACTGCAGCTTTGGGATTTCACGTGACAGCTTCTGAATTTTGGAAACACAGCTCCTGCCCCTACACTCAGTTTTTTAACCAATATATTTATCATTTTAAGAAGGTGGAATATTTCATTTTGTGAAAAGGAAACAATGAAGCTGTTCTGTTTATATATAACATCTTTGTGTTATGGACTATGCTTTCCCCCTGCTTGTGTGAATACTTATGGATTAAATACTGCAGTTCATATTTACTCTTGATTTTTTTTTTTCTTTTATTTTTACAAATTGCTCTACTCTTCCTTTATTCCATGGTAAAATACGTTAAATGTAGAACTAATTTTTTATTCTTTCTACTTTAGGCAGAAAGTGTAGAGTTAAAAATGAGGGAAAGGAAACTCATTCTAAAACATGAAACAAGTGGAAATTTGGTTTGCACCTACAACTCTGTTTTCACTAATCTCAGAAAATAAGGTAAAAAACCTGCAAGTTTTATCTTATCTGTAAAGAATTCATTATTTGCAAAGGCTGGTAATATATTTGCATAACATTTGTTATGCTTGGATTCTCTCCTGGTGAGGCTGAAGCAAGTAAAAAATATTAAGCTGTACAGCACTTAAAATCTTGGTTGCATCTGCAATTCCGTTTTGTTGAGGCGATGATCTGGTACAATTAAATTGCTTTCATCATTACAAGCTGCTTCTTAGCCAAAGTTTTGTATCTCTAGCTACAAAGCACTAAACTGCTCATATGAAGTAGTAACTTATCTATTACTACTTTATATATGAATACTCCTTCCAAACCAGAACATTTCTGAAACACTCTCCAGGGATTATAGCATTCCTCATCTACCAAATTCTGAGATTCATTAGAATCAAATGGTCTAAATTTTATTTGTACATAGTAATTGACCAAAGGCATACTCTATTCCCAGTGCCAAACTTACCATTTTCTTTCTAGCTTGACTGAAATCTAAGTTCTTAGAGATAATTTCTCTTATCCCTTTTTCTGGACTGACTTGGACATCCCATTCTAAATGTTTGATTTGTGTATGAGGAGTAACTTTCATAACTGTAATAGTTGGGTTTTTTTTGTGGCAAGGAAATTTTTATACCTTTATATCACTTGGAACCTAGAAATTACACTTCATTTTACAAAAAAAAGTAATTTTATCTTTAAAAAATGGGCATTTTTAGCCAACTTTAGATTTCACAGTTTTCTGCTCAAATCCACTTATGAATTGACAAGAGCACAAAATACATCAGGCATTCAGATGGAAGTATGCCACTGACATCAACACAGAGTAACAAAAGGTAAATTGGTGTCACTGTGGATGCCAGTATACAAGAAAAAGAGGACATCTAAAGGGCGAGACTGGATGCTTTGAACAGAGCTGTGGGAGTTAGATTCATCACTATCTGTAATTCCAGAAGAAAATGTTTCCATGAAAGTTGTCACTACAGAACTTAAGAGAAAAGTTTGTTTATTTCTCTGGACAATATACTTAGTTACAAGAGGGGTAGCAAGTTAATTTATTAAATGTTTAAATGAGGTAGTACTCAGAAGTATGACTTCTGGGTTTTTTGTTTGTTTGAGAAAATTAGCAATTATGTACCTTGGCTCTACAGTTGTTTCTCTACAAAAGTGTCTGCTTGTCACAAACATCTATATTCCTAGTCTTCAAGTAAGCCATGAGGCTTACTATATAGTTTTTTTCCATGAAAGGCAATAACGCAGTACTCAAATGTTATTTGAATAAAAAACACTTTCAGTCTTACGTTTGTTTTCCTGGATAACTCAGCGATAAATGCAATTGTCTGCTCATTTTTTGCTTTGAAATCTTGTACAGAAGTATCAGAGGATGGATGGAGCCCTGGGAATTTAGCTGTTCCTGTAGAACTAATGGTAACTTCTATGGTAGTATTCTTGCTGTCAGTATCAGCAGTTGTGATCATGATGTTTTGTTATTCAAATGCATGTTCATGACTTCACTTTCCTCTCGAAGTACATAGTACTGGCTTTTTCAGTGCTTTTTGAAACCATGATGTTTCAGTTTTCACTCAGTGGGATCTTGCAATAGATGCTCCATCTGTGTTTTGAGGAGCTACTTCATTTGCCAGGAAGTTGTCGCAATGAAATTGTGGCAAGGAAACACTGAGTGGCAGATGAGCGGTTTTAGTGTTTAAGACCGGAACTATGTTAACCAAAAGAAACATAGAAGCAGCCCTGTGAAGGTATAAATCCCCTTCTCCTGGAGAAGGGGAAAGATCATCCAGCAGTAAGGCTTGAAATTCTTTGAATGGTGTTATTGAAATAATTCCCTTTGCCTCAGCAGTAAAGTTTCTATACTGCAATCCAGTATATATACAATTTGCAGTGTTATTGGAATGATTTTTTTTCAGTATTCATGCTAAGTCCTAAATTATCTGAACAGCTGGAAGCATAGGAGAGGAGTGTTGAACTAAATTGAAGTAGAAGGTCAAAATCCAAGGACACCAAGGGAACAAATAAAATGGACAAGAATAAGAGAAACATTTAGTTTTGGAAAGACCTTGAAGGCCATCAAGTCCAACCATTAACCTGGCATTTCCAAGACCGCCATTAAAGGTGGAGTGTAAAGGGAAGGAGGGATAATGGTCTTAGGTTTTTTTGATATGTCAGTGTCAGCGTATAATAGGATAATGGTAGTATAAGTACAGTTATCATACCAGGAATGACCTAAAACCACAAAAATTGCTACGTCAGTGGAGGAGAACTCAAACCAGAAATCTAGGCAAATGCTGTCCTGATCTGTTTTGGGCTTTTTCCCACATCTATCTCTAAATTCAGTTCTACCATTATGACCATGTAAATCTACAAGGTAATAATAGTTATGTGGTGAGCCATTAGGGGGCCATATGTATCCAACTTATTTATAGCCTGCAGGTTTGATTTTTTTTTTTTTAAATCAACTTGAGATATCTTAGCTTTCTGTATGTGTATAGCCTGTGTAAGTACATAACCTTAATTTCTTTCCTTTGTTCACCTTCTAGTGATTACATGTGCAAGTTGCAGGTTGTCATAATTGGATTGTGCCCCTTTTGGAAAGGCTTTGTGGTATGTAACTCCTGGCCTCTGTGTCACATGTATATTTAAATAAATATTTAAATAAATATTTATTATTTAAATACTGTTTATTTAAACAGAAGCTTTAATAAAATTTTGAATTCTTTACTGTATTGTACTTACTTTCTCTGTAATCCATTAATTTAATAAATTATATTTTAGTCAGTTTCTGTTGTTCTCATTTTTCTACAGTTTTAACATTGTCTCTGTGAGTACTCAGGGTGAACAGTCCCACGTGTAAAATACCAAAGATCAAGGCTCAGCTTACTGCTGTCACGCAGATGTTGCACTGGGCAGACAAGCCCAAAATACAGAGTTATGGCAAAAAGCCTGGAAGCACAGCTATGGATAAGACATACTTGTATGTTCTTTATACAGCACCACATTAATCTGGTCACTTTATTCCTGATTCTTCAGCTGCTTGGTTTGGAGATAACTTTATACTATGCTGCATATACATACTGTCTGTTTAACTCTGATCCAACCATTTAGTTGTTTTGTGCCTTAGTGTTCCCTCTTGAAAGTGGGAGTAGGACTTCCCTATCTTAAATTAGTATTTCTGAAGTGTGACTGTTGGAAGGAGAAAGGTCACTTATGTATGGAGAGAACATGTACTTTTAATGTAATTATGATATGATACAGGTGTTAAATTCACATACAAGAAGTCTGACAGAAGAGTGACACTTTAGACATTGTAGAATCTTTGAACTACCTATGCTGTGCCATAGTAGGTAAGTTCATGAAAGGAAAAAAAGTTAATTATTCATAACGCTTTGCTGTACCATAAAACTCGATTTATTGAGACTATAATTTGTTCAAGTTGCATGTAGTAGAAAAATATATCAGGAGTAATTAGTAGTGTTCAGGATGTGATGAGGTAGATATATCCACAGAGGACAATTGAAAACAGTAGCAGTGTGGTATTGATTGCCTTTCAGAGGAAAAAAAATCTTGTCTCATTTCTAAATGTTAACAATTCAGAGAGAAAAATTCCCACTTGGGAAGAATGCTTTCCAGGTTGCTTCATTGCCAGGTGTTTGACATTGAGTGGAGCCTTAGATGAATGAAGCTTATGGCAGCTTTTGGAAATGACCGACTCCGGGGAATCTTGGCTTCCTGCTGTGAAAGTTTCCATTTTCAAAGCACATCAGTTTCAGTGGGAATGTTCCTCTGGTCCCATATGCTACTTCTGACAGAGGGGAAGTTTTTAACCTGAATATGAGACAGCTACTGAAGAAGTTCCCTTGCTGCTAACAAAATGAATTTCAATATGTTGCCAATGAATAAGCGGCATGTTCCCAACTGCTGAAGGAATTTAACTCCATCAATTATTAATGACAATTTTGCTTTAATTTCCTTTTTTACCCTGTTACCTTTTAGCTCCACTACTTGCTTCTGGTAGGACTTTTGGGTTCTGAAGTTGAATCACCCAAACGATATGCTAGTTTGATTTGAAATTCTTACTGTACTTTCCTCCCCTCCCTCATACGCTCTCTCCTTGACCTAGCAGCAGGAAGCCTTTGTCTGAGGTGTTCATCTGGAACAACTTTTCCACACTTGTTTTCATGTTCTGTTAGATTACAGGGCAGCAGGCCTACCTTTGAAGCTCCCTTCTCTTTTGTTTCTTTGCAGTGCACTCCAGTAATTAACTTTGTCCTTCTTTTATTTGTTCCAGTCAATCGCAGTCCACTCTGCTGAGCATCTTCTCCCAGGAGTACCAGGTTAGAAGTTTTCTCCTTTGTGAGGGTTGACAGGTGCCTAATTGAATGATGAATGTCCCTTTATTTCTTTGTAATTGAACTGCCAGCTTTCTGATTGGTTTGGAGGATGTTCCTTTTTCCACATCAAGCACCGCCTGAGTCTCAGTGGATGGCTGCCAAGCCTACCCATCCATCTGTCTAATAACATCTAGCCTTTGCTTATTTGGTGGACCTGTAATAAATTATGCTAAACCATTATTATTCTGACAATAATAATTTCCCTGTGTTGCGTGGTTCCATGTGCTAAATGTTTGCTGACTTGCACTGTCAGTGCTGCTTTCCATTGCTGACAGAGATGATGATAAATGACCATTGCCGGAGTGGCAGAAGGCAAGAGAGGCAGAAAATGGAGTCATTTATCATGAGATGACAGGTGTCAGTCAAGTGGCAAGTCTCTATGGAATTACTTTTTGTAGTTTTTCAAATAAGTTGTTTTTAAGCAATGTTCTTCCTGGTTAAAAATGCCAATTGAATTGTAAAACTAGAGTGCACCAGACTTAGATGGAATTGAATTGAGGGAAAATTAATACAAAGGTTGAAAGAGAGTACAAGTTTTTCTTTGCCCTCAGCAGCCTTCAGTAAACTTATTTAGATTCAATTATTGTGACCTTACTGGCTTTTACATATGGTACATTGCAGTACAATCTGAAGAAGTTCAATTCAATAGGTAGATTGAATGTCATTTCTGTATGGAATCTAAAAACATGGTTCACATCTATCAAAGTGTAGCCAAGGATCACATGTTTGCGTAGTCATGATCTCTGTGTTTTGATCTATGACACATTTGTAAAAGTCCTTGTTTTTTCATTTTTCTAGAAACAAATCAAAAGAACACATGCCAAGCATCATACTGCTGAAGCTATCGAAACTTACTACCAAAGGTATGACCTCCCCACCCCAGTTAATATTCCCATCATAGCTACTGGTTTTTATGGCAGTTGTGAGTTAGTTAGCTGATTAAGCTAATTTTAAACAATAATAAATTAATAATTTGGGAATACAGAATAGTCCAGCTAAAAAATGTTTTTCACTGGAAATACAGAAAATTTTCAGGATTTGGTCATTCTGATTAAGAAAGAGTTTACTTCCTTGGCTCTAAGTCAGGATAAGCAAATATTTTCTCAGTGAATGTGGTGGCATTTATTATGTATTGCCTATAGTTTGTAATTTTTAGGATTTCTGTGTCAAGACTGATTTTGATGACTTCCTTACAGCAAGAGAGCTTGTTCTGTTACAGTTGCTTGTTTAAAACAACATTTGTGTTACATTACAAAAAGTTACATATTCATGTATTGCCAGTTAAAGCACTAATTTTTAGATCTCTCCTGTTTTATCAACAGAAGTGTCAGAAATAGTTTTTAAGGGAGGATGAAAACCTTTATGTCATTTTACAATTGTTTGCATCTTAAGCTAATAAACTGTGCTTGCTATTCCGTATAGTTTTTCTGTTAGTTCTATAGGCTTTACTAAAAATATTCCAGTGACATAATTGGGGCATAGTGATAACAGGTAAAGATATGCAATTAAAATATTACTTTGTAGACTGACATATCTGAAGAGCATGCATGGCAAGTGAATTCATACTTGTGATGTATAATATTCGTGCTTAATACTAATCTGTATGAATCAAGAAAATAAACAAAGAGCCTTCATTTGTAAACAATTAAATGTGCTTCTGCCAGAGTCATGTATTTAAAACTTAACCACAACCTGATTATATCAGACACTGGTTTAGAATATCTAGTGTGAAGTGTACTAGTTGAAGTGTTTGGTTTTGGTTTTTTATTATTTGTATTGTTCTGTAAAATTTGTACTGGATCACATAACACTTTTCTTAGGGTTGATTCTTGTTTAGGAAGAATATTGGCTTAAAATTTTGTTGTGATAATAACGTGCATATACAGTACTACTTTTAATTATTTTTCACTAGCACAGTTTCAGTGAAGTGGCCTGTGGTAATTGTAACTGCTGTGTAAGTAAGCCTTTTCTTTAAGTATGTGTAAATCACTAGTTCCAGCCTGAAACTTCAACCTGAAACATGGGACAAAATTTTGTTTTATGCAAAGCAGGAGTTGTATGGGTGTCAGTAGGGTTGTAGGTATGATTAAGTTTGTCTCACATCAGGTAGGAGGATTTGGTCTCCTGTCTTCTTCTGTAGTCTGAAGTATGATAGCAGTACATAACTAATGCATTATGTATGAAGCTGTGTGATAGTGGTAGGGAAAATCATTCTTTATGCTATTTCTGAGTATGTCATTTTGCAAGTGTATTAACATGGCTGAGTAAAATGCACATGTTTTAAAATCAGAGATGTTCTGGTCAATAGTTAAAAATCTCATTTCAGTCCTATTTTAATAGATTTACTGTGTAGTATGTTTAGGAGGCTAAAGAAGCAGACAACTTGAGTTAGAAGCCACTTTGAAATACTTCAGGCATAAATACGACAAACATGTCTTCTCCTCTGCTCTTCCGTAGCATCCACTTTACTGCTGTAAGCCCCAGCCTGGGTGCTATGCTTCTTAGTATTTCTGCCGACATACAAGCAGATAATTGTGCTGTCATTGCTTTCTTGGGTCAGAAACTACCAGGTTTTGAAGGTAGACATTTCCAGTGGTGCCTGTTAGGAGCAAGTAAAATAGTTAAATAGAGTAGTTTATTCTGCTTGGTTGAGACTTACTAGTCTGAAACTTAGGAAAACACAAAGTACAAGAAGGAACAACAAGTTTTCAGAACAGTATTGCCATCAGCATATGAGACCTGTTAGTCTATAATGGAGTTGCCAGAAGCATTAGAAATATCTGACAGAAATTTACTTCATTGTCACTGTAGTGTTGCTGTTCGATCATCTAGATGCATGTTTGAGAACATTAATCTCAAGTACATTTTCCTGGTTGTGTATTTTGTGTATCATCCCTCATTTTCTTCTGTTGTAAACTTTCAATGTTTAAAGATACATGAGGCATCTTGTTTTGTGGGGCTTTTTTTATGTGGAACTAAAATAGTTTACAGTAAAAAGCTTTTTTTTTTTCATTTCCTTAATTCATTAAGCTTCAGCATAACTTGCAAGCAAAAAGCCTTCTCTCTGATCTTATGTGAAGGGGTTCTATAAAGTTGTGCCACCTATTCCACAGAAAGGTAAAATGATAAAGAATTTTAATGTCTGTAACTAATGAGCAGAAGAGTGTCTTCTGATGGATAGATAATGATAGAGCTGGAAAGGCTGTGGCCTTCTAATGATGTCAGTAATGATGTGCTAGGCGAATACAGATAGGATAAACGAGCAGGTTGAAATGTTGGTAACTATTGTTCTTTTCCACGTGGCTGCAAAGCACATAGTGGCTTCCAATGTCATAGCTCCTTCCCATCAGCTTCTGAACACAGGTTTCAGGCTTTATCAAAGTGTAAATATCAAGCAGTGCAAGTGACAGAAGTGAGAAACGAGACATTGTGTGAAACGATGGTCAGAAACATCATTCTGTAATACCCTCAACCAGAAACATGAAGCCTTTGCCACTGATAGGATAATGGCTTTCTATCAGCCTTTATTGAATCCTAAATATGCCTTGTTTTCTCTTTAGAATATTAATTGTTAGGCTGATTTCACTAAAGTAAGCCTTTAGTATTTAAAGTACTGCCCAGTTGATAAAATCTGCAATAAATTTGAGAATTTATGTTTTTGTGCATAGTAGTGAATTGAGTAAGATACGCAGTGCACCTTCATAGCTGAAGGTCATGTGGAACCAAAAATCTTTACTGGGAATAATAGAGGTTTATTCATCTGTGCTGTATCTTTAAGAAGTACAGTTATAATTTATTTGTGTGTCATTAAGCCACACTTTTTAAATTTCTTGATATATTGGGTTTTTTACCAGTGACTTCATTGAGATGGATATATTTTGCAGGTGAATAGAACAGGAGACAGCCCTGGAGAATTAGTGATTGCTTAAAATACTTCTTAAAAGATTTTCCATTAAATACTTTGTAATGGGGTATTTTCCCCTAAATGAAAAAGATTCACAAGGGATGCTGACATGTATAAACTGGCCTTTTCTTGCCACTGCAAAATTACCTGCCTTTGTCTTGTCTAGGTACCTGAATGGGGTGATGAAAAATGCAGTTGCCCCAGTATTACTGGACCTGGCCAATGAGGTAATCATCTTTCTTTTTTCTTTAATCTTCTAGTGTAAAACCTGAGGGGCATATCTATAGTGACTTCAGCGAGAAATGTAATTAACCTAAAAAAAATGGTTTCAAGGCACATTAGACATTTAAAATGGTTCCCCAGTCTGTTAGTACTTAAAATAATTAGACAAAAAGCCACATTTATTAATAAATCAGTTCATGTAATTAGTCTTTTAACTTCAAGGCGAATGTGTAGGATACCCTGAATTTGTATTTTGCTGAAAATTCCAGACAGACTGCAGGTTTATATGTTATCATATGTTTATCATATGTTTAATGCATAAACTTACTGAAAATTCTCACATTGATTAAATGGAGTTGTATCAGTTTGATTCCTTGCTTTTAATAACAAAACCCTTCTAAGTTATTACTATTTTTTAGTAATAGGAAGGCTTAAAACAGATAGTTTTCCTGCCTCCGTTTATTTCTGTTCATATGGATTAGAGGATGGCTAATAAAAATCGCTTAAGATAAAGCACTTAAGCAGAAAAAATTCCTTACTGTATGAAAAGTTGTGTACAGATGCCATTAAAGTCTTGACAAATTTATTGATGCTGTTTATTAACTAGAATATGAATTTGCCTTGTTACACAAGGTGTTATTTATTAAAAACAGCTATCTTAGCACTAGCTTAAAGAAGAGGTAAAAAGTTTGAATGAGTGGCAAGCAATTTCACAGAAAAAAAAAATTGATGAAATACCTGGTTTTTAAACTCTAAAATATTTATTTATTGTAATAGTAACAGTACAATAGCTGATACTCCCTGGAACTGCTTATGCAATCCTCAAAGGGATAGAATGAAATGTATGCTGTTTTGTGTTGCATTTTAATAGAAAATATAAGAAGGAGGCAGAAAATGAGTGTTTGCATTAAAAATGATATGGCACTGTGAACATTAAGTGTAGCAATAGCAGCAAGTTCTACGTGTTACATTAGTAAAAAAGAATGTTTATTTTCTCTCATGTACATTGGTGCAGCCAGCAAATGAGTGATTACCTATCAATTACTGGAAGGTGTTAATGGTCTGTGAAGTGTCTGTGTAACCTGACTGTACAGTTAGCATAGAATAAAGGATTTATTTCATATTAGTAGTAATGTGTAGCTTCTTACCATCTCTGGAAAAGACAAGTCTTGATGTACTGAGAATAGAACATACTTTACATAAATAAGTACAATCTTATTAAGAATTTAGGTAAACATCCCAATGGATGATATATTGTACCCATATTATACGGGAACTGTCATAAAAATATTTCAAGCACAGGGTAATATATATGTTACTGGTTCTTTGTATATTTTTCCCATTGATTTAGAGATGATGCATATAATTTCTGACTCCAGTGAGCATATCTTTGTTTATATTTCACTAATGCATTTTTGCAATTCAGATCAAAGATATCTGTAGTTCAGAAATAAATAAAAATTAAATCTAAGAGAAATGGGGGATACATAAAGAACTTACCTGCTTCTGGTTTTGTAGTAGCAGGTATATCAGAAAGGCAATGCATTTTGTGACTGCCACCTAATGCATTAGGGAAACGTGGCAATAACCAGCACCAGATTACTGCTTCCAAACAATCAAGCTGCCATTTTTATATGATAGTTAATATTTAAATGACATACTCTTGCATCTGCTGACAATTGATGTAATGGTAATACTTTATGAGTCAATATATATTTAATCAGTGGAAACTGTAAAAATTGATGAGAAATATATAACATAGCTGTATTACAGTGTGTAGCAGCTCTGTTAAATAGGAAAAGCTCCATATTGTTATCTTTTGGGGATATTTTTTGAGGGTTTATAAAACCACTTATAATTCTTTTTTTTTTAAGTGAAATTATTTGCCAGCTGTTCATATTGTATGTATAGTACAAAAAGGCTAAAATAAATCACATTTTTGTTAGAAACAATAAAATTAGTCAATGTTCTCTTCATACAAATATTTTCAAGTGAGATTTGAAGCACTATGAATTTTACTTACATGCTAAATTCTGACATGAAGCATGATGGCCCTATTTCAAAGAAAGATGGACACATGATTAATATGAAAATTAGGGCGATGCAAGTACCTGAACTAATAAGGTAGTCCTTATTCAGGCTGGACTACCTTCAGTAATTTCACCATTTTTCATGTGTCAGCTCTGATGTGGGTTACTGGAAATAAGCAGCTCCATGGAAAGCATTTCTCTCTAGGTGGGGAATTTAAGGCCATCCAAGTATATACATATTTGGAAAAATATGTATGCATGAATGGAGTAATGTTTTTTTGTGTAGTTACTAAATCAGGATAAAGTTTTTGCACTAATAGTGAACTTGAAAAGATGTCAAGAAAAATTCACTATGACAATGTGTGACAAAGGTTTACTCATAGTTAAAATTCTGATTCACTAAAGCAGTATTTTAATGGTATCTAAAAAGCTATTGTAATTTCAGGAGCAACTAGTTGTAGTTGGAGCAACTAGGTTATGCATTTTTCATACATATAAAAGAAGTCGAAATGAAGGAATACCTTTGTTAAAAATCAGAATATAAACTCTGAAGTAATTTTGATTGGGCCCAACACATCTACTACTTAGTATCACATATTGATACTAAGTATATGTGGTATCACTTGATGGGTACCGCATGAACGAGGATTCATAGCAAAGGATCACCACTTCTTTTCCTTGATGGATAACCTTAGAAAAGGGATTTCACTGTCATCTTGTACAAAGGATGGTTCAGATGCAAAATGTTCAAACATAATAACCTGGATTTTATGTTGTCTATTTGGTTTTTCACTGGTACAGTGGATTACTACTTCACATTTGGTGCAAAGAGTTGAGTTTCCTAATGGAAAATACATCCTGTTTCCTCTATTTCGCTCTTTAGTTTTAATCTACAAATAGATTACAGTTCTGGCAAGTGTGCATCTAAATGCATTTACCTCCTGAAATTCTGTTTTTGTTTCTGTTGGTCTAAGGTGGACTTTGCCCCATCATTGATGGCTCGTATTGTGTTGGAAAGATTTCTACAAGAAAAAGAGCAAGCCATCCGTAAGTATCTTAGCTGTTAGATTTTTTTTCTTTTGTATTTTTTTATTTTTAAAGTACTTTTTGTTTCCACTTTTCTTCTGACCATGATAGAAAAATAATTACCACAACATTGGAAGTGAGATAACAAGGGTAACATTTTAAGCTTGATAACTTCAACAGTTAATGACAGTTAAATTTACTGTATGTAAGAAGAA